GTCCAGCAGGTGCCACTGGCGCGACCGAGGATGCCTCCAGGTGGCCTTCTCTCGCTCCGGCAGACAGAAGAACGTGTTCGTCAGGATGAGGCGGTGTTCTGCGCAGGTGCGGAGAAGCAGCAGGCCGTTGTCGTTGGAGCCGTGGGGATCCAGCACTCCCCTCCAGGCAGTATGGTCTGTGCCCGCGCGGGCGTTGAGGTCGCCAAGGACAATCAACTTGTCCGCCTTCGGCACAATCGCCAAGAGGGCGTGCAGGTCCTCGTAGAATTTGTCTCTGACGGCGTCGGGGTTGGTCGTCATCGGAGCGTAGGCGCTGATGATGGTGGCGAATTTGCCTCCCCAGAGAGGCAGGCGGAGGCTCATCAGGCGATCGTTGATGCCTTGCGGCAGACGGGGCAGTCGTCCCACGATGTCGTTCCAGATGGCGAAGGCGACGCCCGCGTCTCGTCGCTCTGTCTGGGCCGACCACTCCAGAAGAAGGTGTGGCCGGCACCCACCTCCTCCAGTTGGCCTTGTTCGGAGAATCGGGTCTCGCTGAGTGTGGCGATGTCCACCTTGTAGCGCGCCAGTTCTCGTGCCACTAGCGCCGTCCTCCGTTCCGATCGGTTGCTCCTCGGATTGTCTAAAAGGGAACGAACATTCCAGGCTGCCAGAGTGAGCGGGCTCACCCTGCCAGTCTGGTGACAACGAGTGGGGCGACGGGAAGGAGATGGAGAAGAAGGTGACGAAGGAGAAGAATAGGCAGAGGTAGAGGAAGAAGAGGTAGGATGAGGAGAATGAGTATGGTTGTTGTTGTTTCGAGTTTGATTGTTTCGACCGTGAGTTTTGCGTCTGCGACCACGTTGCGCCAGCAGACGACGTGGTTCCCCAGCAATTTTTAGGCCAGCTTTTCCAGGCCCGCCCCGAAGGAAGCAGTGCCCTGACCCTGAATAGGGCTGCTTGATGTGCCGGCGCGGCCGAACTCCACTGTGGGCCACGAGTTTTTTGGCAGTGGAAGAACGACTCGCATTTGCCAATGGCTTACGGCATTGCCGCAAGCCTGCGGTCTCCTACGGTGCACCAGATGGGCGCGTGTCGACGATGCCAATTCGGAGATCCATCCCACCGGCTGATCCACGGCGTACCAGGCGGAGCCTCGTCTCGACGATGCCGATGCGACGTTCCACCACCAACCGGCTGACCAGCGGTGTGCCAGACAGAACCTCGTCACGACGGCGCCGACGCGGTGTTCCATCCGACCAACCGTCCACGGAGTCCGCAGTCACCTGTGCACGCGGCACAACGCGCACAGGGAGTAACCGCCCTCACCTGGTTTAGTCCGCCGGTCGAGGCGGTTGCCCGGGGTGTGGCCGCTGAGCAGAGCCCAGCTACGCGGAGCCACAGGTGAGAGTTGATTGCCAGCAAGTGGACGCTAGGCGTAGTCTCACGTGCAAGCAAGTGAGCGACCACTACGACCTTCACGTGAACCCACCGCTAACACCCCTACACCCCAGCGACCATAAACCGCCATTAAATAATTTTGCTTGTCACCACTGCCTTGTGGTTAGGCTTTTAAGCCAAACCACTAGAGGGGGCAACCTCGAACAAACAATCCGAGTCGCTGTTGGGGACCCACCTGTACCCGAAATTCCCAAGAAACCTCATGAAATATGTCCGACTATCGTATTACGGCCCATGTTACGGCGTCCGCGGGAACCGACGCGCTCCGCAACCCCGGTCCAGTGGTGCGGGCGAATAGTATTCGAGCTGAACTACTCAATCAGGGACGGACTCTTGGTATTAGATGCTGGAATGTGCGAACATTCCTGGGCCCCGGTTCCTCAAATCTGACCGCGCGCAGCCTTAATCAGTACAACGTGGATGTCTGCTGCCTGTCTGAACTTCGACTTTCGGACACAGGTTCTCGATAAATGAAGATCCCTGGAGTCGAATTACACTTTAACGTGTACCGCAGCGGCCCGCGCGCCTCTTCTACACGGTGTGGCTATCACCCTCTCGCAACATGCAGACCTCGCTTTACTTGCTTGGGAACCAGTCAATGACCGGGTGGCCAGAAGGTCACTTCACAAGCATTTTCATCGTCCCTGTGTACGCACCAACTTCAGCTGCCGGGCGGCGCGACAAAGAGGCTTTTTACTCGCAGTTGCAAACGTTAGCTGAACGACTTCCTCGCCGCGATCTGTTGATTATTGCCGGGGATTGGGATGGCCGGGCTGGACCTGGCGACTCCACAAATAGTCATCCTTGTGGCCACTTTGAGCTTGGTTCCCGATGTGAAAATGGCCTGAAATTCGCTGTTCAGAACCGACTGCTTGCCACCAACACGTGTTTCCAGCATCGCAAAAAACATCTGCTGACCTGGTATTCAAACGACGATCATACGGCCAGTCAGATTGACTACATGCTAGTCAGCCCAAGGTTCTGCAGCTGGGTTCACGATAACAGATTGATGCGTGGTGCCAAGACTGGTAACACCCATGGTTTAGACCATGTCTTCGCTCGTACAGGCTTGAAAGTTCACCTCCTATCGACGCCAAAAGTTGCCACGTCCTAGACGCCTCGATGTCGCTCAAATCCGGCAACCCAGCACTGTCGGGGCCCTGAGCCGAGAAATCCGGTCCTGTTTTACAACCCGAGCCGACGTAAAAGGCAGTAACCAGTGATCGTCACTGAAAACGTCAGTCTATGGGGCAGCTGTGAAAATCCTTGGATATACCGAGCGACGCCGCAATGACTGGATCAGCGGAAGAACTCTGAAGTTGTCTGCTGAGACGGCTCGAGCCAGGTCCCGCAATGATGATTCTTTCCGCCAACTTCGAAAGATGATGGCAAAGTCGGCCAGGGATGACCGGAAGCAATATTGGGCTGAACTAGCTACCTCCATGGAACAGGTCTCGAACGTTGGCGACACTGGAAAACTCTACCAACTTATCCGCCAAGTTAGTGGTAAACCCTATGCACTGAGTGACTGTTCGTGACGTGAATGACGGTTTTATTGCTGTCAACTCGGCCAAAGCCGATCGCTGGCGTGAGCACTTCGAGCACCATTTCAACTTACCCAAATTATCTCACCCTTGCTCTACTCTGCAGCGGAGTTTCTTCCCTCTCCAACCTATGCAGTGCCATGCGACCCCCCTCCCGAAGGTGATATCGCCGATGTCATACGAAAGCTACGCAACAACAAGGCACCCAGAGAGGACGGTATACCCGCTAAAGTCTACAAGTCTTGTATTGACACTCTGGTGCCCTGGCCCCATGAGGTGATTGAACAAGCGTGGAGAAACGAGGTTGTTCCTGATGGCTGGGGCTCGGGCATCCTTGTACCTATCCTCAGAAGGGGAGATAAGACAAGATGCGAGAACCAACGTGGCATAAGCCCCATGGACGTTGTTGCAAAGATCTTCGTTGTTGTCCTGCTCAGGCGATTCCAGGCTGTGCGTGACACTAGGACGAGGACCAACCAAGCCGGATTTCGTGCTGGACGTGGGTGCGCGGACCAGCTATTCACATTAAGGTGCATTCTCGATTTTCGCCATAGCTACCACCAACCGACTGCCGTCTGCTTTGTTAACTTTGCCGTCGCGTTCGATTCCGTTCATATTGAACCCCTATGACGGATAATGACACTGGATGGTGTACCGCCAAAAATCATTGCTATCATCAAGGCCTACTATTGATCCACCACCGCGCAAGTCTTGGTCCTTAACAATCTTACCCATCCGTTCGGTATTCGGTCCCGCGTTCGACAGGGTTGTATCCTGTCGTCCATTCTGTTCAACTACGCTACTGACTGGATTGTCGGGAGGGCCCTACACGAAGGTGACGGTGCTGAGTTTGCGCCCTGACACCGACTGACCGATCTCGACTATGCCGATGAAATCGCCTTACTTGCTTCACGTTTTGATGATCTGCAGTCTGTGGTGTCACGGGTGAACGAGGTCGCTAAATCGGTTGGTTTGTCCATAAACGCTGGGACGACTAAAGTGTTTTCAATCTGCATTCCTTAGCAAGAGAGGGCACGCCTCGGGATTGATGGCTGTCAACTTGAAGAATTAAACAGTTTTAAATAACTCGGGGCGAGGCTACTGCCTAATGGACAGAGTAAGGACGACATTTTCTCCCGAATTGATGCTGCCCGCTGGGTTTTTTCAAGCCTTCGAAAATGCCCACGGATCCGACGTGATCTCTCCATCGCCACTAAGATTCACGTGTACCGTGCATCTGTCCGGTCTGTCCTTCTCTACGGTTGTGAATGCTGGGCTTTGCGCGTGGAGGGCGAGCGAAAATTGGAGGTATTTGATCACCACTGCTTGGGGACCATCCTTCTAGTGAAGGGCACCGACTTCGTCTCAAATGAGACAGTCTGCGCTCACTGCGACGTCACAAGGATAACCCAGGCCATCCAGGAAAGGCGACTGATTTGGTTTGGGCATGTTCTTCGTCGTCCACCTCAGGAGCTCGGTGTTACTGCTCTCGATCCGGCACTGTTGCCCCATTGGAGGCGTCGAATAGGGGGTCAAGTGAAAACCTGGCTCGACACTGTCCGCCAAGACATGGAGGTGGTTCTTGGACCTTCGGTATTCGGTCTATTCGTTGGCGAA